GCTCCGGAGCCTGGCTCCCAGCTGCCGTTGTAAAGCTTACAGAAGTGTTTGCGTTCGGCATTTCCTTTTTTAAAAACTGGTTCCGACACAAGCAGGGGTAAGTATTCTTGTAGAGAGACTATGAATGGAAAACACTCCTAAGAGTAACAACAATTAAACGAGCGCTAGCTCCATTGAAAGCGATGCTGTGAAGTCTCTGGGGTTCGCTGGGCACACCTCCAGGGCGTGCAGTAACCCACCGCTCAATTTTCTGTAAGTCACCTTAATGCCACTGAGCAAAACAAAGCTGATGGGGATGCAGAAACACGGAGGTTTTAGAAACCTCCAGAGCATACAGAGAGTAGACCAAACATACTAAACTTGTGGTTTTCTTGCTTTACAGAGAACATCAAATAATCTCGAAAGACATGTTTGATCCTATCTGCTTTACTTAAAAGGGCAGAAACATCAAAAAACAGGCATTCAGCGGGTAAAATAGAGCTCCTAAACGAAGGACTAAGGAAAAAATTAGCAAGCAAGAGCTGTATGTTTACTTCAGAGTTCACAACCAAGAATATAGCGTGTGTCCGGGAATCTGCTGGCTCTGTGGGGTTGTTTCTTTTCATCCTTTATAACGTACTTTAATCACATGCCACAAGACCTTTATCAATATTTGCAGTGTTATGCAAGATACCTTCACAAAAGCATTAAAAAAAAGGCGCAAACTGTTGTGTATCCTCTGGGAGACCCCTGTGGACAGATGCAATCACGAGAGCTAACAGCCAACTGAAGCATGACCTGACAGAGGTGTGGGAGGCCTGTGCTGCCTTAGAAAAGGAAGCAAGACAGAAGCAAAGCAGGTTGGCTGCTTTATTGCACTACTCAGTAAGTTACCTGAGCTAAATAAATACTTGAACTCAAGCCCAGCCCCAATAAAGACACTTAGGCTTCAAATATGTTTTCAGTTCATTGGTTTATTCACTTTTCTGCAAGAAAGACCAGTGAAGTCAGACACTATAACTGGTTCTGAACATGACAAAAAGGCATTTTAGCCATTAAGGTGAGAAACAGAAGAAAGGTCACAGTTGCAGTTTGCATTTGCTTTCAGCGGCAAACTGCAGAATGAGTGGACTATGTAAACACACAATTCAGCTTGAAGCTGCTGAAGCAATGATCAGTTTCCACCAGGGTAAGTGTGCTACTTCTGGAACATTCTAAACCAATACATGGTCTTTCAGAATGTCAGTAAATCCCATACATTACCCCGGAATGAGGGCTGCATTGAAAAACGTCTTGAAGTTTTTTTAGACTCCCTATAAAACCTGTAACTGAAAAGCTGCCCAACTTCTGGCTCAGGGCACCACTATATTCCATGACTCAACCTGCAGTACTGACACACCTGTTTGTTTGAGGAGGGGGTCACACTGTCTGCACCTTTTGGCTTGGCCGTGTAAGAGCACAAAACCCGCTCTATTCCATGCCCCATATGGAATACTGGTTCTTACCTTTTTCCACACGGCTGCTGTTGAAATGGTGAGCCACTCCACTGTTCCCAGATCCTGGAAATTGTGGGACTAGTTGAAGGATCTTGCTGCAAAGTTTACATTAATAAAGAAGCTAAGCAGGCTGAAACAGCAACTCAGTATTTTCCTTTTTTCCTTTCTTCTGATAGGAAAGCAAGAATAAATACTCTTGTCAAAACCAGATGAGAGCAACTGAATTAATTTTACATAAAATTAGCTGTTCCAGGAGAGAAGAAAACACTGCTTAAACAGTTCATGTTCATTGCAGTGAAATTTTAAGCACAACTAAGAAAAGAATAAAGTCAGCTATGTAAGAAAACTTGTATGATATCTGCTCAGTATTTTCAACGATCTGAAGACTATTTTATCTGCCCTTTCTTGACATGCAATAATTAATCCAAAACTAGCGAGATCCCTTCATTAGAGGTGTTTTTCATGCCATGTAGTTCCCACATATATAATGGTACTATCTGTCATTATGAATGATAAAACTGCCAAGCAGGGATGAAATTATCTACCATCAGCACTATGTGTAACTGTGAAAGCAGGATGCCCAGAGATCACGAACACATCTCTCAACTGAATTTCCAACCTTCACGTGCCTGATGAGGGGTATTGCTACCCAAACCCAAGTAAAACATTCACGCTCTCAACATGGTGCATCTCTTAAAATGATAAAACTACAAACTCATTAATATTTACAATTTCTGTATCGTTACCTTTACTATCAAACTCAGCTGGTAGCAGATGTAAAATAGCATATACTTTTCAAACCGATGAAAACTACCCCCCGAAGGCAAAAATCTAAATTCACGTAAAAAGGCCAGAAGTGAAAGCTGTCGTATTTTCAGTTAGCATGGGCGAGGTTCTGCTTATCTTAATGCCCTTCTGTGTAGTAATCCTAACAAAAAGTGCAACAGCAAACTGCCCGTAGAAGTGTATCTAATTGCTTAAAGCTCATTTCAAATTCATAATTAACAGGTACCACTTAAGATATCAGCACATTGCAAACTTCTTGGAAGATAAAACGAATTTTTGTTGTGCCAGCTAAGCAAAAGGGGCTCAGTGATCAGTAACCAAGTGTGTTCACGATGTGTCAGCCTTTGGGCAGCACCGCCTCCCAAGGTGCGGCAGATGCTCTAACCCTGGGTAATGTCACGCCTGTGTCTCTCAGAGGTGTACTCACGGCTTTAAACCTGTCCCCTGTGGAACACACTACTTTGCAGGTCATTTGAATGGCTCCAGTGGTGAATGTAGTAAAGCCTTTTCAGGCCCTTAATTTGCAGTGAGGTTTCTCTCCTGAGGCTAGGGAAACAGGTTTTGTTTCCGGCTTCAAATTAAACGGTGCTGGCGGTGATGCAGAACAGATCTAGTAGGGCACTGTCTAGAGCAGGAGGGCTAATGTCTTGGTTATCTTCTATCCTTCTAGCTGTGCTGTGGCCAGAATGAAAACCACCACTCTGCAGAGGTGCGGTATAAGGCACACAGCGAGCTGAGTTACCTCCTGTGAAGCGATTTGAACAGAATCAGAGTCAACTGCCATTAGAGCTCCATCTGGGGAACACTGCAGGGACCTTAAGCAAGCACAGCAAAGCCAAAAAACTCTGAAGTGAACCTAAGTCAAGGAGCCTTCATCAAGAGGTAAGAGGTGAACTTGTACCGAGGCAGGCTTTGATGAAAATAAACCCCTTCGGTGAGAACAAAGTGTAGAATACCAGTGACAGGCCAAAACCTTCTGCTCAGAACACCAGACAAGAAGCCTTTCTGTTTGGCCATAGAACCTTCTTGCCAATAAACTTTTCCATTGGCAGTGAGGTTGAGATGACAGAAAATCACAGTCTGGATATGGGTGTTGAGGCAAAGCAAGCGTTTCACATATCCTGTAACTACAGGTTCTTACCTTACAACAGGAGTGGAGGAAAACTCATCAGTGGACTTTTTATTAGCGTCTTGGCACCTGGGCAGCCACATTTTATGGTCCAAAAAGAAAAAATAGAATGCAGTATCTATAGAGCTGTCAACCATATAGATATGCCATATTACTAGAAAATATTTTGTGATTCTAAATCAGCAAACAGACCTGCTTCTGGACTTCAGGATTCCCATTAAAGTAGGTTCATGACAGAATGGTGTCTGCAACTTGAATGATCCCCAGATGGGGGAAAGCCAAGATATAGCACAGGTTGAAGGACAAAAAGTAACAGAAACAAGAACAGTAGGTTAAGCTAATGTGACAGGCAAATGAGGTCTAGCTGAAGAACACAGCTTCCAACTCATGGTTGATGACCATGAAAGAAACTGAGGGAATGGTGTATCATTTCACCTTCCATGTTTCATCCCAAGAAGAAATGAATGATAGTACTCTGGCCCTATGCAATACTGTTAAATTTATAACATTTCTTGTCTCCGGTGTCTGTGGAACACAATCACCCACAGCTCGAATCTGATATTATTCTGAAATGAAAATGTTTAATAATTTTACATTTTTGAAACTGATTTACATAGTCTTGAGAAAATTGTAACTTAAGATTAGTGGTGAATACATAAGAATGATTAACTACACATTTCTTCATAATTTATTTCCTTAAAAACCATAAAAGTAATTAATAGCTTCAAAAATAGACTTCTGACCCCCTTTTAGCTAATAAAAATAGGATGTAACAATAGGCTTGAAGATACTAATGTTACAGATTTTTACAAGTTAGATAGCATACCTGTAATTACTTACAATGTATTTCTATGAGCCATGCCAGATAGTATTACTTTTGGTCTTTATAAAGTTTAAAAAAATTGAGCTACAAACTAGGTAGGAACCATCAGCTATAAAAATCCTGGATTATTTTTTTTTTTTTAATGGAGTACTGAAAGCCTATTTGCTTTTGTATTTCGTCTTAATTTAGTTCTTATTTCTAGGCACCAAGAAAACATCAGCACAGAGCTGGGTCAAACACCTCCTTAGAAATTCAGCCAAAAGGTGGTAACAGGCTCCTAATAAAAAAATATCTTTGCAATCAAGTTCATCACTGCGGACGTATACGTGCTCTTTACCCTCCCTTAATGATTAACATACCAAAGATTTTAACGATCAGAAGGGAGGCGAGTTCCTCAGTAGGAAACCCATCACAGGAAAAACCTCCCCATCTCTAGTACATGGCAGGATTCAAGCAGCTGCGCCACCCCAAGGAGGTCGCTGAAGGGACACGATTGCTGCAGCTGGACTACAGCTGTCGTGAGATGAAGGTTCATGATGGTGTGGTAAGTAGTCTGGCAGCAAGGGGTAACTGAAACAGCGTGTAACTTTATAGATATATACCATCACAAATTCCAGTTGTGGTTTTTACTGTCCTGTTAATGTCAAGATTTAATAAACATAAAACATTTTAATTCTTTTGTAATTAAAATGCCAATTTCTGCCTGCGCAGGGAGCGTTTCATTGCTTGTAACCAGGTATCCATAGCAGGTTTGTATTCCTCTGAGTCCTTCTGGGGCTCAAAAACTGCTTCTATTCGCCTCAGCTTCTTTAGTTGTTCTTTGTCAGTCCAAAATCCTATAAACAGAAAGTTCATTCTCAAACTCAACTGCAAATACGTTATTTTTGAGTTGTTTTAATTTATTTCCAAGAGAGTTGAAGCAGAAACACAGTAAGAAATCATGACAGCTTTTCTTTACTCCACCAACAACTTTCTCAGAGGGAAGCATATTTTTAACCTTGTGAAACTCCTTTCCAATAGCATCCACTTGTTTGGAATCCTGACAACAGCACTTGTGCTTAACTGGGATGGTTTCCAAGGAACAGCTCTGGTACACTGAAGTTCCCTTAGACGACTCCGTGCTGTGCTTTCAGCAGCAGGTCCCTCTCAGTGAAGGGCCAACAGCAACCGAGACTTAGCACTAGTTGCTTTCCTACTGTCTTAAAAATTGCATAAATGGCCAAAAAGAGCTGGTGTTATGTATTCAGATTAATTTATACTGTTGAATCATTCTTGTCTATCAAGAGCCACAGCTTTCTTACGGGTTTAATTGCTGAATAAATCTTAATCTGAGCATATAGTTTTAATTTCACAGTTGTGTTACTTACGTATCAACGCAACTGAATGAAGTTAATATCCACCTACAAAATATACTTCCATTAAGCAAAAGCACCGAGAGTTTGTAGTTTGAAGTCTGGTTAACTACATACAGCGATTCTGTGTGAGCAGAGCTGGCATTTTCCCCTGTTAATAATTTATTTTGCACTGCGATTGTGTTTATTTCGGTGGAAACCTTAACGAACGCCTGGGTTCACAGATGACAGGACACAGCTCAGGGTGACTGACATGGTGGCAGCAGCTTCCTTGTCACGGGACACCCCACCCCACCGCTTCAGGGACTGCAAATAGGGGAAGGGGTGCAGAGTAGAGGGTGGCAGCGAGGAGTGCGTTCACCTTTCTTCTCCTGTAGTAGAATTTAGTAGATCCTACTAAATGTAAAGCGAATCTTAAAAACACCTGAGCAGAGAGTTTTCACATTAAGCTTGCTGTGGCTCCTTGGGTATGAAAAAGCACAGAACTGTTCAACCTGTTACACTGTGGGGGAGATACAAATCATAGAATCATAGAATCATAGAATGGTTTGGGTTGGAAGGGACCTTAAAGATCATCTAGTTCCAACCCCCCTGCCATGGGCAGGGACACCTTCCACTAGACCAGGTTGCTCCAAGCCACATCCAGCCTGGCCAAGTAAACCAAATAAAGCTCTTGATTTGGTTTACCTAGGATGTTTTCATGCTTGTTCAGTCCATCACATACAAGTACATACAGCACATGTACAGATACACAAGCACTATGCCGAGAAACATACACTACTTACTTTGGATTGCCACAGAAGGAGCTACAGTTCAGGGAATTTTTACAATTATTTGAGGTTACACGATTTTTGCTCTTTTTTTTCCCCTTATTTACAAACACGCATTACGAAGGGAAACATAAAACCCCTCTCAAGGTATACATACCTGAAGCAAGACCTGCTAGAAAAGCTGCACCAAGACTAGACATGTCTGCATTTGCAGGTTTTTCTATCTTCTTATTAATTAAATCTGAAGTCATCTGCATGACAAAACTATTATTACTGACACCTCCATCAGCTCTACAGGGAGAGGGGAAGAAAAAGGTAAAAATAATGTGTTTAGTTCAAATGCTTACTGCCAACATTTCAGGAAACAACTCTGGCTTCACACTTATGCACAGACCTTCCTGCCACTCACACACTTTATGGGCAGATTCAGAGGCCAGCACACGGTGCCAAGGGAAAAAGAAAAAGGATGCCTGTGAACTGGGGGAAGAATGGTAGGCAGACAGCGACACAGGGCGGACGAATTATCAAAAGCTCTGAAAGCTCCGTCTTCTAAAACGTCATCCCGGTTGAAATGTTAGGGTTTATAACAGAACCTTTACAGAGTTACCATCGCAACACAGCAACAGTCAAACCCATTGCATTAAACAAACCCTTTTGAGTGTTCTCAGATCTGGAAAGTCCTTCTTTCATCACTACCAAATCTTTGTGCTAAAATGCCTTCACAGTTGCTTCTGTTCATGAGGAAGATGAGAATGGGGCTTCCAGCTATCTATTTTCATGTCAGAGACCCATTTGATGGAGAAAACTAGAATTTATCAGTGCTGATTTTTACTCACCCAAGAATGATTACTAGTGAGGCAAAGTAATCACCCTCGCTAACATAACGCAGTCTTTGAGTTGTCCTGGACTGGCTTGTTAAACGGTTGCACTCCAAGACCACCAGCTATGCAGCTGTTGTTCTATCAAATGTGGTGCAGTAGAGACTGTTACTACAGAAGGTGTTGGGTGATGAAACTTAAGAGCTGGTTAAAAATCTTCAATTCAAACATGTCAGCTGAAGTCTTCTGTACTGCGTGATGCCTCATAATGCTTGCATAAATGTCCTGGCTGTTTCTGAAAGTAAAATCAGGAGGCACTGCCGCATTGGTGATGTCACAGAGTTTTGCTTGTTTGTACATGCAGTTAAGCAGGGCTACCACCTCTACACTATGGCATAGAAACCTTTAATGGGCAAAGTTACTTTCTTAATGCAGTGCCATGCATTCTCCTCCTTCTGTAAAAACAGACGTCAATTTGATCCAAGTTACAAGGGGAAAAAAGAAAGAAAATTCCCAAATACTTGTTTTTTACATTGAGCTGAATTTTGATGCTAGATACTTTCAAGATTCAACCCATATAGTGCATCTTCTAGCCCCAAGTTCCTACATGGCATTTGACTGGGGAACATTGCACGAAACAAGGAAACAGGTGACGTTCCAGGACTGCAGGGACCAGCAGGATCATTCTTGTGCCGGCTGCCGCAGACTGCTGCAGCACAGAATAGGAGGACTGAAACCTAGGGTACCTCCTTTGTGCACTCCTTAATGGTGTTCAGACAAGCAAAGAAAAGGAATAGGAATATACAGGACTCATGAAAACAACTTTGTAGGAGGCCAGAGACTGGGAAGAAACAAGGGATACAGGACCATAGCTAAAAAGGGAACGAACATATTTATGAGATAAAAACAGGAATGAAAACATCAAAGGTAAGGGACAGATACAAAAGATGTGCAGACAAAAGATGGGGAGAGCAGCTGGTTTACAGACCTACTGAAAAAGCCACTAAGTGTATCTCATTAACACTTAATCCACAAGCTGAATTGCTACTGATCACAGTTAATTATTATAGTCACTCATTAACCAGCAGTCTTACATTAATTAATAAACCAGTACATGATCATACAATTTAAAATTTACTTTACAACGTAAAAGGGGTCGTCATTGTAATGCTCCCTAGGCAGTACTTCCACACTTCTGTATTTCAGTTCGCAGTCCTCATCTGTTCTGAAATTATGAATGTGTTTTTCTGTGTAAAAAAGCTTCCTAAGGAGTAAAAAATTCCAATACTTTCAATCTTTTCCTCCTCATTGAAACCCCAAGCATGGCTGTTCTTCCTCCATCTTTGCCTACTCTGGCCCAGTACATGATGGAAGACAGAAACTTTTACTACCTCCACCCCCCGCCCCCCATTGCACTTTCACCTTTCACCACTTAAAATTCTCATTTCTGAACCGTACAAATGCCTGCCATGCTGCTTCTTCCTTCACAGGGCTGTCAGGAAGAAGCTGCAAGTGGTACAGGAACCTCTCCTCTCTGTCCTTCACCCTGGTATCACCATGACCCCTGTCTGCCAGAAGGAGAAATTCTGGAGAGCTTTCTCAGCGTGAGGGCTCGAGGCTCCAGGACAACTGCTGCGCACAAATGAAGCGCCTACAGAAACGTGGAGCGTAGTTTGCCAGCAACGTGTAATTCAGCTAAATTCTTCCAAGTCGTTCTGCAAAGCATACTCGAGGGATCACGGTTACCTCGCTAAATATGATGTGCTTCCTCAAAGGCTGCAGCAAAACTAATGTTTCAACAGTTGAAGTGTAAAAGTATTCTTCCTCGTTCCCTCACAAATCGATCCAGTTTTAACGGACATCTTCAAAAAATATTCAGTCTGTGACAGACCAAGCACAAAAAATTTCATATGAAAGAATGACAATAAAGGGTAGAATGACCTTTGTGGCAGGCACTACCCTGTGCTACCTGAAAACATGAATTTGCCTTTTTTTTTTTTTAAATAAATTCAATCAATTCATTACTCACCTACTGACAATCACCAATGCCAGTAGTTCAATCTAGAACCAACCCTTCTGTGGGTAAACTCTACTGCCACTTAAGTTACATTAACATTTGACTCTGTGACCATCTATTTCTCAGCAGCAGAATTTTTACAGTAAGATAAAACACACAATAAAGTTCACACCTATTTAAAATCAAATTCCCATGTATCAATTTTAAAAGTTACACAGAACTTACCTAATAATCTGAAGAGGAATGCGTACCTTCTTCACAATGATATCATAAAGCTGTTTGTTTCTTTAAAAAAATATTTAGTTGAATTAAGCATTATATACTCCATAAAGTGTTTCCAGTATCTACATAGTCAGAAAATAAAATACAAGGCAAAAAAATGCCTCAGTTGTGTCAGAACTGCTGCAATAGCTAACAGGTTTCCAGAATGTGCAAATTAAAAAACAGCAACAAAAAAAACCCCACAAACAAACAAAAAGATCCCACAAAAAGCCCCCAAACACCAGACTGAAACTGGTCTTTTGTTATACGTCCTTAAGAAGGCACAGGTATGGCTAAATCACAGCCCATTCCATAGCAAGTCACTGAAGAAGGTACATTTTTCCCACCTGAAATTGGTGATAGATTGACAGACAAGATGCAACTGTAACAAGTGGTTTAGAGTGAGAAAAGCAGGCTCACAGTGTTAACTGGAGTTTATCCAGCTGTTCTTTAAAGGGAACATCGGAAGCCTGCAAGTTTGACTTGTTCTGAAACCATTTCATTTAATGGGAAAAAAACTGAACACAAAGGACCTCTATCCTTTCCTAATTAGGTATTTAAATGACACACCACAACTTCAAACTTTAGCCGAAGAGCTAATACTTCTAGCTTCAAGGATACTTTGAACAGAGCTGGAGCGGGCTACAGCTTCTGACAAAACACTCTCAGGAGACTAAGGACGAACTTCAAATAGAAAACATTTTCAGAGCCAGCAGAAAACAATCTGATTTAAGAACCCCTATATGGTTACTTAATACCAAAAGCTCTGAACTAATAAATATACACGAGTTTACTTGTAAAGTGTTAAAGGGAAAAAAAAAAAGAAAGCAGCTAAAACTTTTCAGTGAACATTAATGGATTACTACAATTTATATTTTACGAACTGCAGAAGTCCATGCATCCATTTAACACTGCTGATCAAGATAAAAGCAAACATAAGAAAATAGAAGCAAGATAATTAAGTAAGCAATACCTGAAAGCTACAGATTCCAATATAGCTCGTACGAGATGGTTTCTGGTAGTGGAAGGTCTCAGACCCATGAAAGAGGCACATAAACACGGGTCATTCACAGAAACCTGAAGAAAAAATTTCACCATGAGTTCAGTGAACTGTATTTGTAGGCTTTTGAGAAAAGAGTCAAATAGTAAGGAAGAAAAAAGTAACTTACGACAACTACAGGCAGCATTATGAAAGAAGAAAATTGAAAACAATATATGAGAAGTAGATAGTGTTATTTTAGCTAACTCAGTGAACAATTTAAATACCTTCTTTCAACAGGAAAAAAGTTTAAGTGACTTCTTCCAAATCTGACATGCTAGAAACTAATCTGTGTGACTACTCTTTAAAATATATAGAGTACACTTAAAGTGCCTAAGACAGAGCACAGTGATTCTCTAGCAAGATTTTACATGCACACTTTTTCTGAACACTACTGAACTGCTGAAAGAAAGCAGTTACTGACTTTTAAGACTTTAAAAAGTAATACTGAAAAGGATGGTAATACTTTTTATTAATTTACACTACAGCCTGTTTTCAGTGACACTGATAAAATTCTACAGGTCACTAAATTGCCTTTTTTTTTTTTTCAGGAGAATTGGAAGACTGATTGATGAATCTCCTCTCCACCCCTCCATTGAACTTTATCACAAAAGATGAGTTTGCTGATCCATACGTGGTTTGTGACAGTGTTAAATCTTATTTTCACTGTAGACAGTCACTTTAAAATTGAAAAAATCCTTTCCAGTTGTATTGTGCTAAACATCAATTGTGGCAACACTTACCAGAAGTTTGAATTTCATGCTTATAAAATACACACATACTTGTAAAGTAAAATAAGAAAATACTAACATGTTTAAAAAACTAACACGTATGGATAGGTACATACGGCCAAAAGGAGAACCAGCATTTTGCAAAAGTTCCTAAACAGAGGAAACTTCAGCATTACTGTAAAAAAAAAAATTCTTTTTTTTTCCCCCCCATATACATTTCCCATTCTAAGAACGGAACCACTTGTCCAGCCCAGTAGCACATGAGGGTACATGGCTTCCAAGTTTACAGATTTTCATATACAAGATAATAAACTAAAAAGCATAAGCTCATATTCTATATAAGGGTGAGAATCTTGAAAGAATCAACCATTTAAAAAAAGGAAAAAAGTATCAGTGCAAATATATGCATACAGCCCAATGCAAGTACATGCATACAGTCCTAAGTGTTTTCTGTTACCAGTAACCACAGCGAATTAATCCTGGAAACCTTTTTCTACCAGAATGAGTAAGAGGAAAAGTTATTCATGCACATATTCACTCCCTTTCCAACCCACTTTCACAGTGATGCTCCTCTCAGTGTGCTGCATCACAGCAGTAAAACCCAGTAAGAAGGAAACTTGTTCATATTGCCTTAATATGGACGAGTAGAGAAACATTTTACTCGGTGTAGGAAATGAATATTTGGGCTCCATAAGAACCCTCCCCAACCACTACCACTCTGAGGTCTAAGAAACATTTCCAGGTAATCAGTTTGTGTTAGCATCTAGCCAGTGACGCCAAGCAGACGTGTTACAGTCCCAGAAGTGTCCAACTCTGTTTGTGTCCCTTTTAATACCGCTTAATCCACTCAGTTTCTAAATTGATAGAGATTCTGTGAGTCTACTACCTAAACACATTTCACTGAAATGAGCAGGGCTTTTAAAAGGTTTAAAAGGTTTTAAATTTTTTAAAGTCACATGGGTGGATTCTGTCAGTGGTAACTAGATGTCACAGTTAAAGAGAAATCCATTCATTTTTTCAAGTACAGCTTCTAAATTTGGACTGGGAATATTAGAATTAGAGAGAAGAGCCTGAGTCAATGTTTACCAAGAAGCTAGCTGGGGTTCCTTCTAGAGACAGTGTCAAGAGAGCAAGGGAGAGACAAACACACAGAAAAACAAAACCCAACCAACCAACCAACGACCTTTTGCCAACATTTTTATAACTTGAGTTAATAATAATGGAATGAAAGGTTCAAAAAGAGATTCAGATTAACACTTGTCTACCTCAGGATTCCTGTCTGCAAATACTGCAATTTGGTATGGCTCAACATTTGCTTATTCACAGCACAGTTACTCACAGTAAATGCTAAATGGAAGCATCTCATCATAATCAAGCTTTTTACCCCTAAAAATAAATATAACGATTAGGTCGGCCGTTTGAGAGAAGGTAGCTGGGCTACCTGCAGAAGAAATGAAATCTTTCTTTGCTTTGTTCCACTAAGATCCAGCACTTGCACGAAGGTAAGATTAAAGATGCAAAGTCAGTAATTTTGAACACCTCATCGGTTCAAACATCAGTCGTCTATACACCAAAGAACCAGCTGATGGCAGACATGACTCAACCCCACAGCGCAGCAACAGCTTGCACGTCATCTTTGTTGGTCCACCTGTCCAATACAGACCAATGCTAATATTCCAAATGACAACTTGGAGACCAGGGCTATACCAGAGTTTCTCCTGGACAGCAACACTGATTGGAAAAACCAAGTTTTTTGCAGACACAGATACTTTCATGCTGACAAACCCAATGTCGAAACAGCTATACTGCTCAAAGCATGCTTTTAGTCAGATTATCTCAGGTTGCTTAGGAAAGTGGCATCACTTGCTGAAAAAGTGCTGGGGCCCTGCACAGTCCTTAAGCTAGCAATGCCTGCATTAGCAACCCAGTTCATTTCCATTCTGTGTGACGAATGCATACTCTTTTGTATGCACAGTCTGAGAGATGTGACTTGGAAGCAACTGCAGCTGAACAAGCAGTATGTCAGCGCCCCAGCTATCAAAATTTGTCATTTAATGTAATGTATTAATTGGAATTCCCATCAATTCCAATCTAGACTAATATGCTAGACTGAACTGCAGCATCAATATCACCCTTGTTGCTGCCTCTGCACAGGGACAGTAACTCACACCTGTAATGAAATTCAAGAGGGATCATGAAGCAGAGGTGGAAAAGACAGGCATGAGGATATGCAAATCTATAGCATAAATGGAAAGAAAGGAGAAACAACCCAGACCACCTGCCCCAGAGAAGATCGAGTAATTGCAGGAAGTTCCTCAAAAAGAGTGGAAGGTAAAAGCAAGCTCCTGGGAAATGGAAGGGACTAAAGTGAAGAACAAATGCCAGGAACCTTCCTTACTACACACATTGTGCTCAGCAACAAGGCACAAACCCTATTTTAAAGGGAAAAGTATAATTCAGATTAAGATCTGCATGTGAAAGAAGCATCTAAGTATTACTCTATTTGCTTTTTGTAACACCAGGACTTGCCATCTTGCTTGTATTTAAGTATTCTGATGAACTGCAGCCTACATCTTGCAAAGAGGCAGAATAAAATTAATTATTTTAGAACAGTGCTTAGAAGTACTGTCTCTGCATAAGGCAGAAAAGCTGTGGGATAAGTTCCTGCCTCTGCAGGCACTGCCTGAGTTACTGTGGGCAAGTCATTTAGTTTATCTGTTCCCTAGATCTCCATCTGAAAAATGGAAGTAATTTTCCTGTTTTGTAGAGTTTTTCTCATTGACGTGGGGGGTGGGGAGGTGATTTTTAAACATTCTGATATGGCAGTGAGGAACAGACAGTAAGAATCTGAGTAGTACAGAATAAATACTGTGATAAAAATGTAAATTACTACATTTAAAGATGTAAAAGTTAAAATTTAACTGAGTTACTACAATATATTTTCAATTATATTAATAATAATAATAATAATTTTACCTGAAAACCTGGAACAAAACAAACGCCTTGAGAATCAACAATACTCCGTGCCATTATTGCTGTTTCATCTACATTGGTGAAAAGATCTGTAAAGACGCATAAGTTGTATGCTTTTATTATTTACTTCAATTTCTTCATATATTACTAAGAGACATAAATCTAGAGTTAGACTATTTCCTTTTGCAATATTCTCGACCTTCATGTTCTAAGGGCAACGATCAATTCTCTTGTGTTTACTGTCCATCAGTCATACAAAAACCCCAACATTCAGATGAAGAATAAATTTAAAAGCATCCTCTCATATCTGTTATGTTATAGCATTTAATCTTCGTATCCTATAAGAGGTTATTAGTTTTCCAAACAGAAATAAGTGGGAATTGAGAATGCTAACAACAGCACCCTAAGTTTGCTAAAAATCTAGATTTGAAAAACATAAAACATGTTTTCCCCCCCAAAGATGTGGTTAATGTCAGCCCAAGCGCCAGATGTCTACTGAGAAAGTCCTTAATACCCATCATATTTTATCAGAACCCTTTACAAGTGACTGACACACAGATATAAATAATGTAGGT